CCCAAACTTCTTTGCAGTATTTCTTTAGCACCTAACCAAATTAAGTGGATATCTGTCTGTCCTAGTCAAACTGTGGAGCTAAATCTTTAGCACCTAACCAAATTAAGTGGATATTTGTCTATCTAAGTCAAACTGTGGAGCTAATGAGATTTTTACTTAACTTTTATATAATTTAATTATTTTATATTTTTCTTATAAATGTGAGTATTGTTTATAGGAGATTATTTAACTCATGTTTCTTTGACAAAATATAAATTATAATACTATAGCTTATTTTGTTTACTACCTTTACGAGATTATAAATTTGAAAGAAATATGACTAGCATATATTGGTGTCTGCATCAATGCAACTAAAGATCTTTTAATTAAGCTGCCGTATTAAAATTTGATGAATGAAATGTAGTACTTATTTCATTTTAGGTATCAATGCTATTGATTGAAAAAAACGAGAAAGAAAATAAAGTGAAAGATTTAACATTTCTGTTAAAGGAATCCAGAGAGAGAGTTAGTCAATTAGAAGAAATGACAAGTAAGTTTATATAAGCAAATATAGCAATGTATCTTATAGATTTTAGGAGCCCTGTTGGCATAGTGGGTTATGCATCAGACTGCTGCTTACTGCTAGGTCACCAGATAGAAACCACCCACTGCTCCTTAGAGGATGATCAGGCTTTCTACTTCTGTAAAGATTTATAATCTCAACCTCAGAGCAGTTCTAATCTGCCCTATAAGGTCACTATGAGTCGTAGTCAACATCATGGCAGTAAGTTTTTATCCAATTCCTTTTGCTTCATTATACATTTTTGCTTTCATTACAACTTTGTTATAATAGTTTTTAGTGTTTTCCTTCTCAATGTGAGTTGGACCAATAGAGTGAGTCACTTGGAGAGCTTTTTCAAAATACATGTGATCTTTTTTTTCTCTCCATACCCTCACCTTTTCCAAAATTTCAATAAAGTAGTAAGTCTTTTATGTTCACTGTTGCATTCCAAAAACCTGGAATAGTGCCAAGGACATATTGTTGTTAGGTACTGTTAAGTTGGTTCCAATTTATAGTGACTGTGTACAACAGAATGAAACACTGCCTGACTCTCTTACATCCTCTCAATCATTGCTGAGTTTGAGCCCATAGTTGTAGCCATTGTATCAATCCTTGTTGGAGGTCTTCCTCTGCTTTACTGCTCTTCTATTTTAACACGACATTCTTCCTCAACACGGCTCCCTCTTAAAGTATGTGTTACTATTTTTGATTTCAAGGAGCCATTCTGTTGTACTTCTTCCAGGACAGATTTGTTCACTCTTCATGGGTATATTCAGTATAATTCACCACTACTGCAATTCAAATGTATCAACTTTTTTTGGTACTTCAGTGTCTAGCTTCCACATGTATATGAGGTGATTGAAAATACCATGGCTTGGATCCAGGTGCATCTTAGTCCTCAAAGTAACATTTTTGCTTTTCAGTGCTTTAAAGATGTCTTTTGCAACAGATCTGCTTGATGTAATATGCCATTTGATTTCCATAGTGACTGCCTCTTCCATTAGCATCAATTGTAAATTCAAGTAAAAAGAAATCTTTGGCAGCTTCAATATTTTTTACATTTATTATCATACTTACTGGTTCAGTTATGAGGATATTTGTTTTCTTTATATTGATGCTCTTGTCTTTGATTTTCAATAGTAAGTGCTTCTTTGTTTTCATTAAACAAGATTATGTCATCTTTGTATTGGAGGTTATTAATGGTTCTTCCTCCAATGTTGATACTGCATTCTTCATCATACAGTCCAGTTTCTCATATTATTGTTATTCAATGGCGTTTGCTTTTGTGGGTCTTAACAAATTATGGTTAACATTGTGTAGAATGGGACTTCCACAATACTTGTACTCTTGCTGAACCTGTGCATAGACCAAGAGTTCAAACAGAACCAAGGGGATTTTGGGTAGTTCACAGTCAGGAAAGGTGTACATCAGGATTGTATCCTTTCATCACATTTATTTAGACTTTATATTTGATTTTTGAAGAATGTCGTATCAGGCTACATATTAGACTTTTGGTAAATATTGTATAAATCGATATGAGAGCATATAGATGGAATCATTAATTTTTCCCTGAGCAAGACATTTTGAAAGGTATTAAGGAAGAATTTTTGATTAAGATTTTACATGATTAAAAGTTAACTAGACAGTGAAGTGGAGGAGGAGATAGCTTTTACAAGACATGAATGGATAAAAAGTAAGGGTATATTTAGTAAACTGTTCAGTGTTATATTTGAACCCAGTAGATGAGACTAAGGATATTTGGATCAGTTTATAAAATACTCTGAATGTCATGTTATCTCTAGACTTTGTCTTACTATTGAATAGTTTTCAAACTTGTTAAAGTGGCAGGATACTTAGAAGACATAATGAATGCATTTTGTGAAACATGTACCCTTCAGAATACCACAGGGATCATAAAACATTTATCTCTCTTTATTTTTGAAACACATACCCTGTCTTCACAGAGCAAATAATTTTCTGGTTCTGCTAATCTGTGCTCTCTCATTTTACCTTATTGTCTAACCTATAGCCTATACTCCAGATATTTTGAAATTATTTAACTTCTCTTAAATTTTATGTTCTTCCTATCTCATCACCAATCTTATGTCTGGTTCCTCTAAAACCAGATGAGCCTTCCACACGCACTTCAAATCTGTGGCTAAATTCTAGTGAATTCTTCTTCTCTAGTCTTAGGACTAAGAGTCCTGGTTGCACAATGGGTTACATGTTGGGCTCAACGTCAAAACCACTAGCTACTACGTGGGAGAAACACTAGCCTTTCTACTCCCATAAAGACAGTATTGGAAAACCAGAGGGACAGTTCTACCCTGTTGCTATGAGTCATAGATAATTTAAATTCATTTTCATTACTTCGATATCCACCTTGCCTGTTGGTTTGTTTCTTTTGTTTTTGAACTTGCTTTAGTTCCTTTGTTCCTATCTTTTGGTGTGCCCAGGGATTATTAAATTAAATTCTGTATATAGAAGAAAAATTAGAGGCCCTAGATGATGTATCATTAGTTTGCTAGGGAGAGATTGTGGGTAGTTTGGACTGATTATATTAGTTGAGGACTGAGCTTAATGAGGGAAAATTGGACAAGTGTTTGAGGTTTTTCAAGCCTCCAGATTTTTTACTCTAGCTTCTTAAGAATCCCCAGTTCCAAAGTGATGCTAGTTTCTCAGTAGCACTCTTTTGTTTTTTGCAAACACCATATGCACCATTTTCAATTTATCCACCGTTCTTCTTTTCATTCTTAGTTTCTTTGTCCCTTTGTTTTAAGTCCCTCCCATACCACCCCAGAATGTATAGTTGTTTTCAGCAGGAAATTTGGCTTGTCACAGATTGCTTCATCCTATATAGAATTATTACCCTTAAATTAATTATGATTCGCAATGTTTTATTTTCCTGTTTTAATGTTTGAATAGCACTTCATAATTTATTTTGTCATATGTTAGTACTTTGGATAGTAAAGGCTATCTATCACTTGTCATCAGAGATTTAAAAACAATTTAAGGGAAAACAAATTTGCCATCTTTCCAATCCTTTTAAAACTTTGTCTAACTTAGAAACTCTTGCCTTATATAGTGTATGAAATTTATTCTTTTCTCAACCTGTTAATAAAAGTTACTTTTGTATTTTGGCTTTTCCCAAAACGTAGGTCTCTGCTTCCTCGGCTATTTTTTGGCGGGAAGTTACTCATTCTCACATTTCATCAACAATGGAATTAGGATTATTTTAGCGCTCACGCCACATTCAAATCATTCATTCAGTTTTCATCTATGCCAGATAAAAAACTAGTTGCTGGGGATCCAAAAACATTTTTTTCTTGCTTTCTAGAAAAATTATTATTTCTAGTATTTTAGGATGTTTTTTGCAGTAATGTATGGATATTGACTTTTATTAAATACTCTTATTAATACTGTATTAGTGATTACCTTCTAGTGTTAAATCATTTAAGTTTCTTAGTGTTAAACAAGTTTGACTCAGTATAAATCTAGTTTTAATATTTTAATATATTATTTGATTCAGTTTTTACATGTTACTTGAGTAGGCTTTGTTTAGGACATTTGCACCTATGTTCAGTGATACTGTTTATCATGTTGTTCTCTCATCACCCTTATATTTTCCAAATTTTACCATTGTCTTTAGCTGAAGCTCAGTTTTTTTATGAGGTTTTAAAGTAAGTACATACGTAGAAGGGCATGTAGAGTAAAACTTCACATTGAGTAATTAGAAAATATTAGTTATTGAGTGATATAAAAAACTTTGTTATTAGTTATTTTCTTAAATGAAGAAATGTGTAATGTAAGAAAGAATTAAAATTTAAAATAGGTAAAAAAGAATTATATAATGAATAATTTTACTATTAAGAGATTAATTCTTCTATTTTAGTATGTACACTTTTTACAATTATTGTTTACATACATATAAACGCTATTTTTAACCTGTCCTTTTTATTCTATAATATTTAATGAATACTTACCCA